CCCCCCTGCCAAGAGACCTCCTTCCCCCCCCCCGTGATGTCACGGTGCCCCCTCCCTCCCCCTCCCCCCTCCTCTGCCTCCTTCTGAGGTCACAATGTCTCCCCCGGCGACTGAACTGTTGCTGCCTCTCAGCCCCCTTCTGCCCTCAGTCTCTGCCTCTTCGCTGCCCTGCCCTGCCTTTGCCTCGGTGCTTACCTCCACTTGCACCTCTGGGTTGTTGTGTTCAGTTTGTGTTTATCAGTTTGCTTATTATTCTAGTAGTAGTAGTAGTTGTTGTTGTTGTTGTTGTTTTTCTTATTTGTTTTTATAATAGTTTAGTGTTTAGTGTGTATAGAGTGTTTGTTAATCGTTTGGTTATTGAGTGTGTTGGTTTTTGAATATATTTATTGGTAGAGTTTGTTATTTATTCTTCTTATTAAGTTAGTTAGAGCTTTGAATATTTATTATTTTTATTAGTTTCTAAAATATAGAATACATTTATTTTATTACTTCTCCTTTTTTGTTTCTTTGTATTGTTTTATATTTTTTATTTTGTTGGCACTCTTTGCTTTAGAGTTTGGGTTTTTTTTGGTTGGTTTTGCTTCAGATTTTTGGTTGTTTGGTTGTATTTTTGTTTTTCTTTTTTGTTTTTGTTTTTGGGAAGTTCAATGGATGTATACAACATATTAAATTTTGGCATGATGCTTCCTGAGATTCGGTTCATTTTATTTATAGGGGCCCAAATAACAAGAAGTGTCCTTACCTCCACTTGCGAAACCGGGTTGTTGTGTTCAGTTTGTGTTTATCGGTTTGCTTATTATAGAAGAAGAAGTAGTAGTAGTAGTTGTAGTTGTTGTTCTTATTTGTTTTTATAATAGTTTAGTGTTTAGTGTGTATAGAGTGTTTGTTAATCGTTTTGGTTATAGAGTGTGTTGGTTTTTGAATATATTTATTGATAGCGTTTGTTATTTGTTCTTCTTATTAAGTTAGTTAGAGCTTTGAATATTTATTATTTTTATTAGTTTCTAAAATATAGAATACATTTATTTTATTACTTCTCCTTTTTTTGTTTCTTTGTATTGTTTTATATTTTTTATTTTGTTGGCACTCTTTACTTTAGAGTTTGGTTTTTTTTTTGTTGGTTTTGCTTCAGGTTTTTGGTTGTTTGGTTGTATTTTTGTTTTTGTTTTTGGGAAATGCAATGGATGTATACAACATATTAAATTTTGGCATGATGCTTCCTGAGATTTGGTTTATTTATTTATAGGGGCCCGAATCAGAAGAAGTGCACATCACCTGGCCAGTTCCACCAATTCGGTAGCGGCAGCAGCCGCCAAGCAGACAGAGGCGCCCCTTGCGGCAAATGGTTCCACACAAAGCCGCAGAACCAGAACTTCAAAGGACAAAGGTCCAGGAAAAGAAGCTCCGCAGGCAGCAACAGCAGGAGCCCCTCATCCTACCAAGGCAGAAGAGCCAGCATGCCCGCCCTCCCATTCTTCTCCTTTTCCACCATCATCTCCCCAGGACACCCCCCCCCTGCCAAGAGACCTCCTTCCCCCCCCCCGTGATGTCACGGTGCCCCCTCCCTCCCCCTCCCCCCTCCTCTGCCTCCTTCTGAGGTCACAATGTCTCCCCGGCGACTGAACTGTTGCTGCCTCTCAGCCCCCTTCTGCCCTCAGTCTCTGCCTCTTCGCTGCCTTGCCCTGCCTTTGCCTTGATCCTTAGCTCCACTTGCGCCTCCTGGTTGTTGTGTTCAGTTTGTGTTTATCAGTTTGCTTATTATAGTAGTAGTAGTAGTAGTAGTAGTTGCTGTTGTTGTTGTTTTTCTTATTTGTTTTTATCATAGTTTAGTGTTTAGTGTGTATAGAGTGTTTGTTAATTGTTTTGGTTATTGCGTGTGTTTGTTTTTGAATATATTTATTGATAGAGTTTGTTATTTATTCTTCTTATTAAGTTAGTTAGAGCTTTAAATATTTATTATTTTTATTAGTTTCTAAAATATAGAATACATTTATTCTATTACTTCTCCTTTTTTGTTTCTTTGTATTGTTTTATATTTTTTATTTTGTTGCCACTCTGCTTTAGAGTTTGGTTTTTTTTTGTTGGTTTTGCTTCAGGTTTTTGGTTGTTTGGTTGTATTTTTGTTTTTGTTTTTTGTTTTTGGGAAGTTCAATGGATGTAAACAACATATTAAATTTTGGCATGATGCTTCCTGAGATTCGGTTCATTTATTTATAGGGGCCCGAATAACAAGAAGTGCCCGTCACCTGGCCAGTTCCATTCCTCACCCCCACGACCCCAGTCCACAGAGGAGAAGCTTCGCCATGCTGGATTTGCTCACCGGCTGGCCAAGTTCGAAGAGGCTGAACTAAGGAGGCAGCAGTCCTTCCTGCCGAAGCTGCCTCTGAATTTTGAAGACTGGAGCCCAGGGAAGGCGATCCCCCTGCCTTGAGCAGGTCCACGGCTTCCTCCGGCAAAAACTTTGAAGTCCTGCCTTCCTGCAGTGCCCCAGACTCGCCGTCTACCAACGGTGGCCTGAAAAGAGATACGTTGCGGACCGTTACCGCTCTGACCGATAGGCAACTCTTTGGTGGCGATGTATCCATCTTAGAAAAAGGAGACAATTTTGCTGCCCTTCCTTTTACCTCTGTCCTTGCCTCCTCTTGCGCTTCCTGGTATTTGTGTTCAGATTTTGTTTATTGGTTTACTTTTTCTAGTAGTAGTATTTGTTATTTGTTTTTTATTGTTAGATTTGTTTGTATCTTTTATAGAACGTTTGTTCATTGTTTTTGCTATTGAGTGTTTTTTTATTTGTGGAAACCAGATAAAATATTATTTATTTACAATTTTTTGGTTTGTTTGTATATTTTATAGAGTGTTTGTTAATTGTTTTAGATATTGAGTGTGTTGTATTTTGAATATATTTATTGATAGTGTATGTTATTTATTCTTATTAAGTTAGTTAGAGCCTTGAATATTTATTATTTTTATTAGTTTCTAAAATATAGAATACATTTATTCTATTACTTCTCCTTTTTGGTTTCTTTGTATTGTTTTATATTTTTTATTTTGTTGGCACTCTTTGCTTTAGAGTTTGGTTTGTTTTTTTTTTGTTGGTTTTGCTTCAGGTTTTTGGTTGTTTGCTTGTATTTTTGTTTTTGTTTTTGGGAAGTTCAATGGATGTATACAACATATTAAATTTTGGCATGATGCTTTCTGAGATTTGGTTCATTTATTTATAGGGGCCTGAATAACAAGAAGTGCCCATCACCTGGCCAGTTCCACCAATTCGGCAGCGGCAGCAGCAGCCAAGCAGACAGAGGCGCCCCTTGCGGGAAATGGCTCCACACAAAGCCGCAGAACCAGAACTTCAAAGGACAAAGGTCCACGAAAAGAAGCTCTGCAGGCGGCTACAGCAGGAGCCCCTCGTCCTACCAAGGCAGAAGAGCCAGCATGCCCGCCCTCCCATTCTTCTCCTTTTCCACCATCATCTCCCCAGGACACCCCCCCCCCCCCAAGAGACCTCCTTCCCCCCCCCTGTGATGTCACGGTGGCCCCTCCCTCCCCCTCCCCCCTCCTCTGCCTCCTTCTGAGGTCACAATGTCTCCCCGGCGACTGAACTGTTGCTGCCTCTCAGCCCCCTTCTGCCCTCAGTCTCTGCCTCTTCGCTGCCTTGCCCTGCCTTTGCCTCGGTCCTTAGCTCCACTTGTGCCTCCGGGTTGTTGTGTTCAGTTTGTGTTTATCGGTTTGCTTATTATAGTAGTAGTAGTAGTTACTGTTGTTGTTGTTTTTCTTATTTGTTTTTATAATAGTTTAGTGTTTAGTGTGTATAGAGTGTTTGTTAATTGTTTTGGTTATTGAGTGTGTTGGTTTTTGAATATATTTATTGATAGAGTTTGTTATTTATTCTTCTTATTAAGTTAGTTAGAGCTTTGAATATTTATTATTTTTATTTGTTTCTAAAATATAGAATACATTTATTTTATTACTTCTTTTTTTGTTTCTTTGTATTATTTTATATTTTTTATTTTGTTGGCACTCTTTGCTTTAGAGTTTGGTTTTTTTTCTTGGTTTTGCTTCAGGTTTTTGGTTGTTTGGTTGTATTTTTGTTTTAGTTTTTTGTTTTTGGGAAGTGCAATGGATGTATACAACATATTAAATTTTGGCATGATGCTTCCTGAGATTTGGTTCATTTATTTATAGGGGCCTGAATAACAAGAAGTGCCCGTCACCTGGCCAGTTCCATTCCTCACCCCCACGACCCCAGTCCACAGAGGAGAAGCTTCGCCATGCTGGATTTGCTCACTGGCTGGCCAAGTTCGAAGAGGCTGAACTAAGGAGGCAGCAGTCCTTCCTGCCGAAGCTGCCTCTGAATGTTGAAGACTGGAGCCCAGGGAAGGCGATTCCCCTGCCTTGAGCAGGTCCACGGCTTCCTCCGGCAAAAACTTTGAAGTCCTTCCTTCCTGCAGTGCCCCGGCCTCGCCGTCTACCAACGGTGGTCTGAAGGAGATACGTTGCGGACCGTCACCGCTCTGACCAATAGGCAACTCTTTGGTGGCGATGTATCCATCTTAGCAAAAGGAGACAATTTTGCTGCCCTTCCTTTTACCTCTGTCCTTGCCTCCTCTTGCGCTTCCTGGTATTTGTGTTTAGTTTTTGTTTATTGGTTTACTTTTTCTAGTTGCAGTATTTGTTATTTGTTTTTTATTGTTAGATTTGTTTGTATGTTTTATAGAACGTTTGTTCATTGTTTTTGCTATTGAGTGTTGTTGTTTTTTTGTGGAAACCAGATAAAATATTATTTATTTATAATTTTTTGGTTTGTTTCAATATTTTATAGAGTGTTAATTGTTTTAGATATTGAGTGTGTTGTATTTTGAATATATTTATTGATAGTGTATGTTATTTATTCTTATTATTAAGTTAGTTAGAGCTTTGAATATTTATTATTTTTATTAGTTTCTAAAATATAGAATACATTTATTCTATTACTTCTCCTTTTTGGTTTCTTTGTATTGTTTTATATTTTTTTATTTTGTTGGCACTCTTTGCTTTAGAGTTTGGTTTTTTTTGTTGGTTTTGCTTCAGGTTTTTGGTTGTTTGGTTGTATTTTCGTTTTTTGTTTTTGTTTTTGGGAAGTTCAATGGATGTATACAACATATTAAATTTTGGTATGATGCTTCCTGAGATTCGGTTCATTTATTTATAGGGGCCCGAAAAACAAGAAGTGCCCGTCACCTGGCCAGTTCCATTCCTCACCCCCACGACCCCAGTCCACAGAGGAGAAGCTTCGCCATGCTGGATTTGCTCACTGGCTGGCCAAGTTCGAAGAGGCTGAACTAAGGAGGCAGCAGTCCTTCCTGCCGAAGCTGCCTCTGAATGTTGAAGACTGGAGCCCAGGGAAGGCGATTCCCCTGCCTTGAGCAGGTCCACGGCTTCCTCCGGCAAAAACTTTGAAGTCCTTCCTTCCTGCAGTGCCCCGGCCTCGCCGTCTACCAACGGTGGTCTGAAGGAGATACGTTGCGGACCGTCACCGCTCTGACCAATAGGCAACTCTTTGGTGGCGATGTATCCATCTTAGCAAAAGGAGACAATTTTGCTGCCCTTCCTTTTACCTCTGTCCTTGCCTCCTCTTGCGCTTCCTGGTATTTGTGTTTAGTTTTTGTTTATTGGTTTACTTTTTCTAGTTGCAGTATTTGTTATTTGTTTTTTATTGTTAGATTTGTTTGTATGTTTTATAGAACGTTTGTTCATTGTTTTTGCTATTGAGTGTTGTTTTTTTTTGTGGAAACCAGGTAAAATAATATTTATTTATAATTTTTTGGTTTGTTTGTATATTTTATAGAGTGTTTGTTAATTGTTTTAGATATTGAGTGTGTTGTATTTTGAATATATTTATTGATAGTGTATGTTATTTATTCTTATTATTAAGTTAGAGCTTTGAATATTTATTATTTTTATTAGTTTCTAAAATATAGAATACATTTATTCTATTACTTCTCCTTTTTGGTTTCTTTGTATTGTTTTATATTTTTTATTTTGTTGGCACTCTTTGCTTTAGAGTTTGGTTTTTTTTGTTGGTTTTGCTTCAGGTTTTTGGTTGTTTGGTTGTATTTTCGTTTTTTGTTTTTGTTTTTGGGAAGTTCAATGGATGTATACAACATATTAAATTTTGGTATGATGCTTCCTGAGATTCGGTTCATTTATTTATAGGGGCCCGAAAAACAAGAAGTGCCCGTCACCTGGCCAGTTCCATTCCTCACCCCCACGACCCCAGTCCACAGAGGAGAAGCTTCGCCATGCTGGATTTGCTCACCGGCTGGCCAAGTTCGAAGAGGCTGAACTAAGGAGGCAGCAGTCCTTCCTGCCGAAGCTGCCTCTGAATTTTGAAGACTGGAGCCCAGGGAAGGCGATCCCCCTGCCTTGAGCAGGTCCACGGCTTCCTCCGGCAAAAACTTTGAAGTCCTGCCTTCCTGCAGTGCCCCGGACTCGCCGTCTACCAACGGTGGCCTGAAAGAGATACGTTGCGGACCGTTACCGCTCTGACCGATAGGCAACTCTTTGGTGGCGATGTATCCATCTTAGAAAAAGGAGACAATTTTGCTGCCCTTCCTTTTACCTCTGTCCTTGCCTCCTCTTGCGCTTCCTGGTATTTGTGTTCAGATTTTGTTTATTGGTTTACTTTTTCTAGTAGTAGTATTTGTTATTTGTTTTTTATTGTTAGATTTGTTTGTATCTTTTATAGAACGTTTGTTCATTGTTTTTGCTATTGAGTGTTTTTTTATTTGTGGAAACCAGATAAAATATTATTTATTTACAATTTTTTGGTTTGTTTGTATATTTTATAGAGTGTTTGTTAATTGTTTTAGATATTGAGTGTGTTGTATTTTGAATATATTTATTGATAGTGTATGTTATTTATTCTTATTAAGTTAGTTAGAGCCTTGAATATTTATTATTTTTATTAGTTTCTAAAATATAGAATACATTTATTCTATTACTTCTCCTTTTTGGTTTCTTTGTATTGTTTTATATTTTTTATTTTGTTGGCACTCTTTGCTTTAGAGTTTGGTTTGTTTTTTTTTGTTGGTTTTGCTTCAGGTTTTTGGTTGTTTGCTTGTATTTTTGTTTTTGTTTTTGGGAAGTTCAATGGATGTATACAACATATTAAATTTTGGCATGATGCTTTCTGAGATTTGGTTCATTTATTTATAGGGGCCTGAATAACAAGAAGTGCCCATCACCTGGCCAGTTCCACCAATTCGGCAGCAGCAGCCAAGCAGACAGAGGCGCCCCTTGCGGGAAATGGCTCCACACAAAGCCGCAGAACCAGAACTTCAAAGGACAAAGGTCCACGAAAAGAAGCTCTGCAGGCGGCTACAGCAGGAGCCCCTCGTCCTACCAAGGCAGAAGAGCCAGCATGCCCGCCCTCCCATTCTTCTCCTTTTCCACCATCATCTCCCCAGGACACCCCCCCCCTGCCAAGAGACCTCCTTCCCCCCCCCCCGTGATGTCACGGTGCCCCCTCCCTCCCCCTCCCCCCTCCTCTGCCTCCTTCTGAGGTCACAATATCTCCCCGGCGACTGAACTGTTGCTGCCTCTCAGCCCCCTTCTGCCCTCAGTCTCTGCCTCTTCGCTGCCCTGCCTCTGCCTCGGTCCTTACCCACACTTGCCCCTCCGGGTTGTTGTGTTCAGTTTGTGTTCATCGGTTTGCTTATTATTATAGTATAGTAGTAGTAGTAGTAGTAGTAGTTGTTGTTGTTTTTCTTATTTGTTTTTATAATAGTTTAGTGTTTAGTGTGTATAGAGTGTTTGTTAATTGTTTTGGTTATTGCGTGTGTTGGTTTTTGAATATATTTATTGATAGAGTTTGTTATTTATTCTTCTTATTAAGTTAGTTAGAGCTTTAAATATTTATTATTTTTATTTGTTTCTAAAATATAGAATACATTTATTTTATTACTTCTTTTTTTGTTTCTTTGTATTATTTTATATTTTTTATTTTGTTGGCACTCTTTGCTTTAGAGTTTGGTTTTTTTTCTTGGTTTTGCTTCAGGTTTTTGGTTGTTTGGTTGTATTTTTGTTTTAGTTTTTTGTTTTTGGGAAGTGCAATGGATGTATACAACATATTAAATTTTGGCATGATGCTTCCTGAGATTCGGTTCATTTATTTATAGGGGCCCGAATAACAAGAAGTGCCCGTCACCTGGCCAGTTCCATTCCTCACCCCCACGACCCCAGTCCACAGAGGAGAAGCTTCGTCATGCTGGATTTGCTCACTGGCTGGCCAAGTTCGAAGAGGCTGAACTGAGGAGGCAGCAGTCCTTCCTGCCGAAGCTGCCTCTGAATGTTGAAGACTGGAGCCCAGGGAAGGCGATTCCCCTGCCTTGAGCAGGTCCACGGCTTCCTCCGGCAAAAACTTTGAAGTCCTGCCTTCCTGCATTCCCCCGGACCCGCCGTCTCTGAAAGAGATACGTTGCGGACCGTGACCGCTCTGACTGATAGGCAACTCTTTGGTGGCGATGTATCCATCTTAGCAAAAGGAGACAATTTTGCTGCCCTTCCTTTTGCCTCTGTCCTTGCCTCCTCTTGCGCTTCCTGGTATTTGTATTCAGTTTTTGTTTATTGGTTTACTTTTTCTAGTAGTAGTATTTGTTATTTGTTTTTAATTGTTAGATTTGTTTGTATCTTTTATAGAACGGTTGTTCGTTGTTTTTGCTATTGAGTGTTGTTTTTTTGTGGAAACCTGATAAAATAATATTTATTTATAATTTTTTGGTTTGTTTGTATATTTTATAGAGTGTTTGTTAATTGTTTTAGATATTGAGTGTGTTGTATTTTGAATATATTTATTGAAAGTGTATGTTATTTATTCTTATTATTAAGTTTGTTAGAGTTTTGAATATTAATTTGTTTTGTTTTGTTTCTGAAATACAGGCCATGGAGAAGAAGAAGCACCTTCATGCTGGGTTTGCCCACCGGCTGGCCAAGGTGGAAGAAGCCGAAGTAAGGAGGCAGCAGTCCTTCCTGCACAGAGTAGTGGAGCCCGGCAAGGATTATTTCCCCTTTAAAAGGTATTTATTGATAGTGTTTGTTTTTGATTCTTATTCTCATTATTATTTTTGTCTATTTTTAGTAAATTAATTTTTAGTATTTGTAGAGTTTTGAATATTCATTTTCTTTATTTATTTAAGGTGCCTTGAATGAGAAGAAGCCTCCATCCCCTGGCCAGTGTGGCCCATCCATCCGCAACACCAGTGACCAAGCAGGCAGTGGTACCCCATATGGGAAGTGGCTCCACCCCCCCCCCTGAGGTTCCGACCCCCAGGTTGAGAAATGCTGCCTTATCTGGCCACGGTGGTCCACGCTCTTGTCACATCCTGGTTGGATTACTGCAACGCACTCTATGTGGGGTTGCCCTTGAAGACTGCTCGGAAACTTCAACTAGTCCAGCGAGAAGCAGCCAGATTGCTCACCGGAGCGGCGTACAGGGAGCATACCACCCCCCTGTTGTGTCAGCTCCACTGGCTGCCGATCCAATTCCAAGCACAATTCAAAGTGCTGGTTTTGACCTACAAAACCCTATACGGTTCCGGCCCAGTGTATTTGTCAGAACGGATCTCCCTCTACATCCCACCTCGAAGTTTAAGATCTTCTGGGGAGGCCCTGCTCTCGACTCCGCCATTGTCACAAGTGAGGCTGGCGGGGACGAGGAGCACCTTCTCAGTGGTGGCCCCCCATCTGTGGAACTCACTCCCCGGGGAGATTAGATCGGCGACTTCCCTTCTAGCGTTTAGGAAAAAACTGAAGACCTGGGTGTGGGACCAAGCCTTTGGTCATTCTGACAACTAACTTAAGGATCTGACGATAGACAAGGACAAATGGAATGGAATGGATATATGGACTCTGAACCCTGAACATGAGATTGTTTTATTATTTTATTATGTATTGATGTTTTAATTTAACTGTTGAATTGTTGTATTTTGTATTGCTTGTCAAGTGATTTGGGCATCTAATTGTGCCTTCCCTGTAAGCCGCCCTGGGTCCCCCCCCCCCCCGGGGTGAGAAGGGCGGGGTATAAGTAAGTGAAATAAATAAATAAATAAATTAAGGCCATCCAGTCCAACTCCCTTCACCAGGGCAAGAAAATGTATTCAAAGCCCTCCTGACAAAGAGCCGCCTAGCCATAGATATGGATAAGATAGATAGATACTTAGATAGATAATTTACACACACACAAATATGTATATGACAGATACAGTATCATAGATTTGAAAGGAACCCCTAAAGAAGGACAATTATATGTTGCATGTTCCAGAGTAGGCAAACCAGACAATCTCTACATCAACACTGACAAAGATACAAGAAATACTGTCTACCCACAAGCATAAAGAAATTACATATATTAGAAACCAACACTTTTTCATTACTTTATTTTTCAGCTGTCCCCTGCCACAGCAACACGTGGCAGGGGACAGCTAGTTTTAAACAAGAGACACGATTTTACTAGCAGGTGTGTCATTGCATATAATGGGACTTGAACATCCATGGATTCTGGTATCCTGGAATCAAGCTCAAGTGGGTACCAAGGGCCCACTGTACATTTGCAAAGAGATATATGAGATTGGGTGACTAATTTACCCATGATTAATTTACCCATGTAAAGGTGGGAAACTGGCTACCTTAAAACAAACCTGGTAGATAGGAACGAATACGACTTGAGAAAATAGACATGGATGAATGCGTAGAATACAATACATAGAGAGAAATATACAGCCTTTAAGGCAACTACCCTTTTAATTTTGTATATAAATTTGTCTGTACTGTTCGTCTTGTTTGTCAATTTGTATATGTCGAAAAATCTTTTCAATAAAAATAATTTTTAAAAAACAAACCTCTTAATGCTCTACTGAATGTCACTAGAAAGTTCAAATTATAAAAAAAATGATTAGAAAAACTGGAAACCAGGAAAAGTAAAAATATGCATGATTTTCTTCAAAGCAATCTAACTAGGTTTTCCAGTTGAAGTTGTCAGCCTTTTTAAAAGCTTAGAAGACAGTGCCACCATGTGTTCATGCCTGGAAATACCTATGAAAATGCATCCCACAACCAGGAACACCTCTTCTTGTATCTTTTCCCAAATTACTGGAATAATACCTGGACTCACTCTGGATTGTGCTCTAACCTACAATAAGCACTGCCTACAAGAATATCAAGCAAAAGGTGGGCACTAGAAACAATATACAAAAGCTGACTGGCACAACCTGGGGATCACAACCAGACACAGTGAAGACATCTGCCCTTGTGCTATGCTACTCTGTTGCTGAGTATGCATGCCCAGTGTGGAACACATCTCACCACGCTAAAACAGTAGATGTGGCTCTTAATGAGACATGCCACATTATCACAGGGTGTCTGCGCCCTACACCACTGGAGAAATTACACTGCTTAGCCGGTATTGCACCACCTGACATCCGCCGGGTAGTAGCAGCCAATAGTGAAAGGACCAAGGCAGTGGCATCTCCAGCGCATCCCCTGTTTGGGTATCAGTCAGCACGTCAATGACTTAAATCAAGAAATAGTTTTCTAAGATCTACAGAGACACTCGCTGGAACACTTCAGTAAGCGAGAGTCCAAAAGTGGCAGGCTCAAACTGTGCTGTCACACGCTGGGCCTGTGCATCAGACTGTAGACAGGATATAAATTCTGTGTGCCCAACGGGACGCCGGGGCTGCCTCAGATTAAAAGCCCTTGGATTTCCTTAAAACAGAGTCTTTAGATTGCTTAAAGTTTCTTTAATGATGAAAACAAACAGGTACTTTAAAGCTTTTTTTAAAAAAATATTTTATTTGGAATATATTGCTCTTCAGATGGAGCGGATAGAAAGAAAGAAATAATAAATTGAAAATGTGATATTTACATGGAAAGAGTGGGAACAATGTTTTCAGTAAAGTTGGAAATGCAGTTATGAGAAGTTAACGACAGGGAGAAGGCAAAGGGGGGGGGGGGACAACAAACAACCAAAGGTGTCGGTTAAAATACTTCCAGGAGTCTCTGGGCAGGTAATTGGGAAATAACGGTAAATTAATCCCTTTGTTGTCTTTTCTTCTTGTTGTTTATTCGTCAGCTTCTTATTGATGGTCCTTTGAGTTTCTTCACTGAGAATTGCTGATATAAATTTCATTATTTAACCTTTTGGGTGGTTTCGTTATGCTTTGTGATATTAGGTTCTTGTGGGTTTTTTCGGGCTATAGAGCCATGTTCTAGAGGCATTTCTCCTGACGTTTCGCCTGCATCTATGGCAAGCATCCTCAGAGGTTGTGAGGTCTGTTGGGAGTAGGAAAAATGGGTTTATATATCTGTGGAATGGCTGGGGTGGGGCAAGGAGCTCTTCCCTGCTGCAGTTAGGTGTGAATGTTTAGCTGATCACCTTCATTAGCATTTGAAGGCCTGCCTGAGCCAGGGAAAATCTGTTGCTGGGAGGTGTTAATCTGTGCCTGGTTTTTTCCTCTCTGTTGTTTAGCTGTTATAATTTTAGAGTTTTTTAATACTGGTAGCCAGATTTTGTTCATTTTCATGGTCTCTTCCTTTCTGTTGAAATTGTCCACATGCTTGTGGATTTCAATGGCTTCTCTGTGTAGTCTGACATGGTGGTTGTTGGTGTGGTCCAGCATTTCTGTGTTCTCAAATAATATGCTGTGTCCAGGCTGGTTCATCAGGTGCTCTGCTATGGCTAATTTCCTTTGTGCCTTTCACATTTCCAGAAAAAACCACTTAATTTACCTTTACTAAACTTAGATATCTTTTCAGGAGTAAGGTACCATCTATAAAATGCTTTATACCAATTCTCCTTGAGTTCAGATGCATAGGTGTATTTTATTTTATTACACCAAACTTCCTCCCACTCAGTCATATTTATGGGTCTGCCTATATCAGTGGTTCTCAACCTTTCTAATGCCGTGACCCCTTAATACAGTCCCTCATGTTGTGGTGACCCCCAACCATAACATTGTTTTTGTTGCTACTTCACAATAGTCATTTTACTACTGTTATAAATCATAATGTAAATATCGGATATGCAAGATGTATTTTCATTCACTGGACCAAACTGGGCACAAATAGCCAATGCACCCACAAGTAAATGCTAGTGGGGTTGGGGGAGGATTGATTTTGTAATTTGGGAGTTGTAGTTGCTGGGATTTATAGTTCACCTATAATCAAAGCACATTCTGAACTCCACCAGCGATGGATTTGAACCTAATTTGCCACACAGAACTCCCATGAACAACGGAAAATACTGGAAGGGTTTGGTGGGTATTGACCTTGAGTTTGGGAGTTGTAGTTCACCTATATCCAGAGCACTGTGGACTCACGCAATGGTGGATCTGGACCAAACTTGGCACAAATACTCAATATGCACAAGCACTGGTGGAGCCTGGGGAAAATAGACCTTGACTTTTGGGAGTTGTAATTGCTGGGATTTATAGTTCGTTACAATCAAAGAACATTCTGAACTCCACCAACGATAGAATTGGCTCAAACTTCCAACATGGAATCCCCATGACCATCAGAAAATACTGTGTTTTCTGATGGTCTTTGGCGACCCCTATGACACCCCTTCGCGACCYCCTCAGGGGTCCCGACCCCCAGGTTGAGAAACACTGGCCTATATCTTTAGACCATTTAATCATATTTTCCTTTACCTGCTCCGTTTCCGTTGCCCATATTAGTAGTTGTTGGTATATTTTTTTTATTAACTTAGTTTCTATTTTTATTATTTTGTCCCAGAAAGTTTCCTTTATCTGAAATCCTATTCTAGCGTCTATTTTAAAGTTTTCTGTTATCTGTTGATATTGGAACCAAGAGATGGTTCGGTCCATTTGTTTTAGTTCTTCCAGGGATTTAAGCTTTGTCCATTGTGCATATATCTTAAGTAGTTGGGTGTATGTTAACCATTTTCCCTAGGTATTTCCCTCAGGTGATATGCTTCATTGGGTGAGAACCAGAGGGGGGTCTTGCTATATAGCCTATCTTTATATCTATTCCATATTTGTTGAAGGGCGGCTCTCGTCGGATGGTTTCTAAATTTCTTTTCTTTCTCTGCTTTTCCCCTCCATAGATATCCATGCCAGCCCTGTGCCAGATCAAAACCCTCTAAAGCTAGTATCTTTCTTTTGTTCAACATCGTCCACTCTCTTATCCAGTGCAGGGCAGCTGCCTCGTAGTAAAGTTGTAGGTCTGGGAGGCTTAAACCTCCCCTTTTCTTGTCATCCGTTAAATTTTTGTGGCTTATCCTTTGTTTCCTGCCCTTCCAAATAAATTTAGATATATCTTTCTGCCAATTACGAACGAGAGTTTTTGATCTTAGAATTGGTAGCGTCTGAAATAAAAATAGGACATCCGGCAATATAGTCATTTTGACGGTGGCAATCCTGCCTAGCAGTGAGAGATTTAAATGTCCCCACGACCTCAATTTCTTCTTTATTTCCTTCCATTTTCTCTCATAGTTATTCTTTGCCAACTGCGCATTATTTGATGATATAATTATTCCTAAATATTTTGTTTTCTGTGTTGTTTTAATTCCTGATAGTTCCTGCAATTTAAAGCTTTCTTAACAGTCTATTGGCTCTCTCAATCTTGTTCAATGGGAACAGGCACTATCTTCATAAACTGTAATTTAACTAATGGGGAAATCCTTAACTTCTAATCTGGGCAGTCTGTCTTTGCCTCTGTTGGCGTGGAGCCCCTGCGTCTGGCTTCCGCGAGCGACCCTTACTGACCCTTACCAAGCAGAGCTTTGTAGACTTCCAAAGGAAAAGGAGTTCAGGGTTCAGTGATGGCTGGCTGAAGTCCCTCAGCAAAGGAGCTGTAAGGCTGTATGATCCTCGGCCAAGCTGTGGGCTGTATAATCCCGGCCAAGTTGTAGAAGACGAAGCTTTCTACAGGAGCTGTTGGTATTATGTCCTGCATGGAAAGCTTCTCTGTGTGGGCTGAACTCAAAATGGCTCCTATTCCCTCTAAAACCCAAAAAGGGGGCGGGATCAGGGAACCTAACTATAATTGACAGGTGGCTTGCCCTATGATTGCAGCCAAAAGAAGCCACCTATCTGCAGAGTCCCAGAAACTTAGGACTACAACAAACATTCAATGCAAAGCAAACAAAATTGGAGCTACTGGTACAGCTGTACCTGCACACAAACCCAGAACCTCAATCAATGGCTGATACCAAATGAGAGACTCCCTCCTGGGCACACAGAAAACTGGGCAACTTGGAGGGCACTGAACAGACTGCACTCTGGCACCATGAGATGCAGAGCCAACCTTGGAAAATAGGGCTACAGAGTGGAATCCACGACATGTGAGTGTGGAGAGGAGCAAACTACAGACCACCTGCTACAATGCAACCTGAGCCCTACTACATGCACAATGGAGGACCTTCTTATAGTAACACCAGAGGCACTCCAGGTGGCCAGCTACTGGTCAGAGGACATCTAATCAACTAACAAGCTTGCAAACTTTGTGTTTTGTTTGTTTGTTTGTTAAAAATGCAATACAACTGTTTGGTTTACTCCTAACACAAAATATAAATAAATAAATAAATAAATGCTAGAATAAATTTTTGTGCGATGGAGTGGAGGTGTCCCCATGAAGAATATGAGAAGTTACAGAGCATTTTGGATGTTGGATGTTGAAGGACGTGGCAGGTAGCCTTTGAAGGCTGCTCAAAAATGGCACCAAGCTCTTCAATCTCTGCATCGTACAAGTCACTTTACAGCTCTTCACCTTACAGCAACCTTATGCCAGTTTTGCTTATGGACAATCCAATAGTTTCCACAATCAAGCAACAATGCTGGAATGTGTATTACTTTTTACAGAACTAATTTTACAATGTTCCTATCTTTTAGAGGGCGTTGCTGTGACGGTGCAAGTGGCGCCACCTATGTATAAAACTGTTAGTTGTAAGATTTAAACTGTTGTACTCTGCTTAATCCTGCCCCTTTTACCATGCTTGTGTATATTTGTATGGATTGGTTACTTATAGCTGTCAATCAGTACTGTTTGGCTCCACCTCTTCCTGCAAGAGGGGAGAACTTCCTTTCTTTTCATTCTGCCTTCAGAGATCATACCACATGGACGTGAGTAAAAGACTTCATTCTTAAAGACCCTGATTTAAGTTACCTCTTAGCACCAGTTCTGAGGTGTTTTTACCCAGGGGACTCATGCTTTATGTCCAGATCGTCCTGGATAACATTGAGGAGACCCCAGCACCTTCATACCGGTTCTTTTGGCACCAGAGGAAGAGTCTGAATCTTCAAGACATAGGCCATCTGAACTGGGGTTGTGGTTTGCTCCGGCATTCACAACCATTGAGGAAAGAGGAAACTTGGTGAGGCTTCTCAGCTTCAAACCCCTTGGACCCAGGACTAATTGAGACTGTAAGTATGTTTTTCTTCACCCCTCTAAAGTTTTCCAGCTCATTGCTTTGAAGAAATGACTTTGTGATAAATAAAACTTATTTTGAGCTATTTACAGCGTTTTGGGTTTTTGGGAGTTCCAGTTTCCTATAGGAGGGCAAGAAGCAATCCCTTGGGGGAAAGAACCGCCCATCCCTCCTTCATTAAGACTAATAGCCCCCAAGTGCGACGGCACAGTTGCTTTCTGTCTCTTTCTTTATCCATAATCTAGCGTCAATCACTGGAGCCAATCCATATGTGTGCTAAGTTTATATTTTTGACCCCATATGTACAATTGGAGCATTACCTATCTTAGCCAGTATGTAAGTTAGTGTTTGAAATCATACAGAAAACACCATATTTAACAAAAAGAAACATGTTGTTAGAGTACTGCCTCTTAGAGGGAAACCCTGTTCAGACATTTGCCTGACTTTGCCTCCTCTAATTTTTCTCAGTCATGTGGTAGCAGACCTCATTTTCTCTAGTACTAAAACATAAGTGGTGAGCAAAACTTGTTCCATAACTGGGACTGGGAGGCCGGGGGTGGCTATGCTCTCCCGAGAAAGCTTCTCTCCTGTGCTGTTCCTGTGCTGAACATTTCTGGCATTGAAAGTGTTGGCCTGGTGTGGGATTCCTCTGAGAGTATAGCCTTTCTGCTGGTATACTGTGCGCCTTGCGCATCAGCAGACAACCTATCCCAGCTGCCGGAGACTGTGTCGGAATGGTCCTTGAGGTTCCCCAGACTTATTGTTTTGGGGGATTTCAACGTCCACGCTGATGCAGACTCTTGTTCATCAGCGGCTATGGACCTAGTGTCTACCATGGAGACACTAGGACTCTCGCTCTGTATTACTGGGCCCACCCATCAGATGGGACACACGCTAGATCTGATTTTCAGTGTAGGAATTCAAGTGACCCAAGCCTCTATTATAGAGGTTCCATGGTCAGATCACTGTGCTCTGAGAGTCCGGTTGGAGCATGCCTACCCACCTTGAAAGGGCGCCGAGCCAATTTGGGCTCGCCCAAGGAGACTTATGGAACCCAGTAGGTTCCAGAATGCTCTGAGGGATCTGGAGCCTGCCAGCGACTCAATCGATGTGCAGGTGGACACATGGAACATCAGGCTATCCAATGCACTCGACGAGATCGCCCCTAGACACCCTCTCCGACCCCACCGAAATCGGTCTCCTTGGTTCACCGAGGAACTTCGACTGCTGAAGCGGGACTATGTACATCATAGGCTATGAAACATATTAAACTACACTCAGTTGAATGGAGTCACAAAGTTTGCATGAGCTGGAACACTCCTAAGGATGGGTTCCTTCTGACTTTTAACTTCAGAACTGTGCTCAGTCTTAGAGCTGTTTGCTTCAGATCTTCAAGCTCAACATGGGATGCTCTAACTTATGAGGGATGTTCATTAAAGATTTCCCCTGACCCACTTTCTGTGGACTGAGAGCAATGAAACTTGGTACAGTTATTAGTCCTTCTCTACATAGGTGCCACCTAAGGACACACACTTCTCCCACCCTTTTAAGCAACTGTCAACATTTTGCATGTAGAAGTCAACAGGTTGCTCCAAAAGCCACGATGTGACTTCGGAAATCAGAGTCTCATTACCTAAAAAATGCTTGCCCTTCAAAAATAACTTCATTGTTGGAAAGTGGTGTGAGGCCAGGCGAAAAAGGGGGATGCGGTAGAAATTCAAAGCCACAGGAGCATGCTTCCATTTGGGCAACATGTGAGTTTGTTTGTTTGTTTGTTTTTTGAGGCACAACCGCAGAATACACATTGCCAGCCCTTGCTGCAAGTGGGGGAAAGTGGAGAGAGGGAGCAATCCTGCACAACCCTCTCGCTGGAGGGAGCCAGAGCAGCTCTTCTTTCCCTTCCCAGGATCCGTAGCTTGGTGCGGGAAGGCAGTTTACAGAATGGAACAAGGGCAGCCTTTGCTTTCTTTCTTCTTAGGGTTAACTGTTGGGGCGGGAGGAGAATCCAGCTCATGAAACCTCCTGATGGCCCTCACCAGCTCATGGAAAGATTTGTCCACATTGAGATGGAGTTTCGCAGAAGCTTCCATGTACGGGATCCGATTCTCCTGGACAAAGCTGAGGGCTTCTTCTTTGGACACCTGCCAATAAAGGTCTAAATCAGTCTTGTTGCCCACGAGGATCATGGGGAACTCATCACGGTCTTTCACTCGAAGTATCTGAGTGTGGAACTTATTGATCTCGATGAAACTGCCATGGTTATTGATGGCATAGACCAGGAGAAAACCTTCCCCTGTGAACAGGCATTTAGCGGGGGGGGGGGGGGGGGTTGGGCTTCAGCCCCCCCCCCCAATTCTCATGATCTGATCACCATACTCAATATATCCCATATGCATGGGGCTATTGGGGTAACAATACAAAAGGTTTGCTAGGGTAGACCCTCTTTCACTCAGACTCAGTCCCCCCCCCCCCCCCCCCCCCCCCGAATCAAAATCCTGGCCACGGGCCTGCCTGTGCGCATATACTGCTTTCGCATGGCCCCAAACTCCTCCTGCCCAGCAGTGTCCAGAATGTCCAGGCGCATTGGGGTTCCATCAATCTTGCAGATTTTTCTATATATGTCCTCAATTGTGGGGTCATATTCGGAGACAAAATATGACTGGATGAACTGGGTGGTGAGGGTGCTTTTGCCCATGCCGCCCCTGCCGACCACCACCACCTTGTACTTTTCCTGCAGCGCCACGCCTTCGTTGGGATTCATGACAGTTTGGGAAGCACACCACACAAAAAGTAAACAAAGCCAAGCTTTTCAAAAAGCCCAGTGCCCTGCCGCCGCCATGCCCCACTTGTTGGCTCCTCGGTCCCCCCAAAAGATGGCTGAGTGTGGGCCTGGAGAGGGAGAAGAGGGCTTGCCCCTTGCAGAACACAAAACATGGCGCCTCCTTGCTCTTCTCCTCCTCCTTCTCGGCTGCTGCTCCACTTCCCTATTTCAACATAGAATCATAGAATCATAGAATCAAAGAGTTAGAAGAGACCTCATGGGCCATCCAGTCCAACCCCCTGCCAAGAAGCAGGAATATTGCATTCAAATCACCCCTGACAGATGGCCATCCAGCCTCTGTTTAAAAGCTTCCAAAGAAGGAGCCTCCACCACACTCCGGGGCAGAGAGTTCCACTGCTGAACGGCTCTCACAGTCAGGAAGTTCTTCCTCATGTTCAGATGGAATCTACTCTCTTGTAGTTTGAAGCCATTGTTCCGCGTCCTAGTCCAAGGAAGCAGAAAACAAGCTTGCTCCCTCCTCCCTGTGGCTTCCTCTCACATATTTATACATGGCTATCATATCTCCTCTCAGCCTTCTCTTCTTCAGGCTAAACATGCCCAGATCCCTAAGCCGCTCCTCATAGGGCTTGTTCTCCAGACCCTTGATCATTTTAGTCGCCCTCCTCTGGACACATTCCAGCTTGTCAATATCTCTCTTGAATTGTGGTGCCCAGAATTGGACACAATATTCCAGATGTGGTCTAACCAAAGCAGAATAGAGGGGTAGCATTACTTCCCTAGATCTAGACACTATGCTCCTATTGATGCAGGCCAAAATCCCATTGGCTTTTTTTGCCGCCACATCACATTGTTGGCTCATGTTTAACTTGTTGTCCACGAGGATCTCAAGATCTTTTTCACACGTACTGCTCTCGAGCCAGGCATCCCCATTCTGTATCTTTGCATTTCGTTTTTTCTGCCAAGTGGAGTATCTTGCATTTGTCACTGTTGAACTTCATTTTGTTAGTTTTGGCCCATCTCTCTAATCTGTCAAGATCGTTTTGAATTCTGCTCCTGTCCTCTGAATGTGAGTTGTGAACTGGTGCATTGCCTTGCAGAAGGTGGACACCTTGGGTAAGCATGCCACATCTCTTGGTTCTGATGGCCTCCTGCAATTTTGCAGCAGTGAAGCATAGTATGCCCCAGTGATCATGGTACCCTTTGCTAGGAAATTCATCAATACTATTCTGTACTGGTCCCAAAATACTATGAGCATGACCTTGCCTGCTGAGAGTTGGGCAAGTGCCTTCTTTGGAGGTGGTGAGTCATGCTTTCATTGCATTGACTGGACTTTAGTCTCAGGATCAAAGTGATGGACCCAGCTTTCATCCTGTGTGATCAGTCTGTTGAAAAAGTCCTCCTGGTTTCCATGGCACATTGTCAATAGAGCCTGAGAGCATTCGACTCATTCCTGCTTCTGGAAAGGTGTGAGCAGCAGAGGGACCCAGTGAGCAGATACCTTATGCATGTGAAGATGGTCTTGCGTTATTTTTTTCTTGACATTTTGGGCTAGGTGGTGAATGGTTACACGGTGATTTTCCAAAATGGTGACATCCACTTGATGGATGGTGTGTTCATCAGTAACAGAACGGGGTCACCCTGGAATTGGAGGTGTTTGCACCGAAGTCCAACCATGTCTACTACTAACTTTTCTCTCCCTGCTCCTTGATATGAGCCAACTACATTAGTTATCCCCATTAACTAACTGATAAAGAATGTTCAGTTGGTCTCCTCTAACTGTCATTCTTGACTCCGGCCATCTCTCATGCCTTAGCATCTGCTCATTTATAACCCTGACCTGATTTTTGTAAATGACAGCATAGTCCACCAATGCATTAAAAGGGTATTAAATCCAATACCTAATACTCAATTTCAATAAAGCTAACTGGACAAAGTTTACAGAGAACTATGAAATGAAATGGAAGAAGATCAAAAAAGATCTAGAAAAATTGAGATATTTGAACCTATCTCTACTGGGAAGAATTGTGGATATAAAGATGAATATTCTACCTAAAATGTTATACTTATTCCAGAATTTGCCAATAATCAGGAATTATCAAATTTTCAAAACCTGGAACAAGGACTTAACAACATTTATTTGGATGGGGAAAAGACTGAGGATTTCAAAATAACACCTCAAATGTACCTTTTGAATATGGCCGAGGAAGAATTAGAAAGAAAATTTGGAAAAAAAATAGTTTTACACAACAATGGCAGCTCAAATAGTATATGCTAGATATTGGAAAACTCCAGAGATAACTCCTTTAGAAGAATGGAAAAAATATAGATATGCTGATAATGGACAAAATAACTATTATTAAGAGGAGAAGTATTAGATAACTTTGTTAATGAATGGCAACCAATGATTCAACACCTTAATGTAAAATTAAGCTAAAAATGTATATAGAGGATCCTATAAGATTGTAGACAAGGAGGAAGTGGATGTAAAGTAAGAGTCTATGATATTTTTATATGTATTATTTAGATCAGGGGTCCTCAAACTTTTTAAACAGAGGGCCGGGTCAGAGTCCCTCAAACTGTTGAAGGGCCAGATTATAATTTGAAAAAAAATCATGAATGAATTCCTATGCACACTGCACATATCTCATTTGTAGTGCAAAAAAAATGAATAACACCACTTAAAATACAATAATTAAAATTAAAAACAATTTTAACAATATAAACTTATTAGTATTTCAATAGGAAATGTGGGCCTGCTTTTGGCTAATGAGATAGGATTGTTGTTGTTGTTGTTGTGTGCTTTCAAGTTGTTTCAAACTTAGGTTGTTGTGTGCTTTCAAGTCATTTCAGACTTAGGTTGAGTGAGGGCCGTCCGTGTAAATGACCTTGGAGGGTCATATTTGGCCCCCGGACCTTAGTTTGAGGAACCCTGATTTAGATAGTAGACAGTGACCCCTTAACGGAAATATATTATCAGATAAATGATTATGGAATATTAATAGATAGAAAGTATTGCACTGTATGCAACAAACATTTGCAAATGTATGTCTACTTAAATTAAATAACATTTTAAAAAAAGACCGAGAATAAAACTGCTTTATTTATTTATTTATCGTGTCATCAGCAACCATTGTATTACAATTCTAACAGAGCAAAACAAACACAGAGATTAAAAAGAAAAAAAAAAAAAAAGAAAGAAAAAAAACCACACAGATTTTGCAAATTTGGTATTTGGTTAAATGTCCTTTGACCAGTATCTGGCCACTTGGAGTGCCTCTGGGGTTGCCGCAAGAAGGTCCTCTATTGTGCATGTGGCAGGGCTCAGGGTGCATTGCAGCAGGTGGTCAGTGGTTTGTTCTTCTCCGCACTCGCATGCCGAGGATTCCACCCTGTAGCCCCATTTCTTAAGATTGGCTCTGCATCTCGTGGTGCCAGAGCGCAATCTGTTCAGCGCCTTCCAAGTCGCCCAGTCTTCTGAGTGCCCAGGGGGGAGCCTCTCATCTGGTATCACCCATGAATTGAGGTGCTGGGTTTGGGCCTGCCACTTTTGGACTCTCGCTTGCTGGGGTGTTCCAGCGAGTGTCTCTGTAGATCTAAGAAAACTATGTCCTGATTTAAGTCGTTGACGTGCTGGCTGATACCCAAACAGGGGATGAGCTGGAGATGTCTCTGCCTTGGTCCTTTCACTATTGGCTGCTACTTCCCGGCGGATGTCAGGTGGTGCAATACCGGCTAAGCAGTGTAATTTCTCCAACCAGAAATAAAACTGCTGAACCTAACTAACGACAAAAATAAGAGGAGGATTCAGTTTACCAGACCTAAAACTGTATTACGAAGCAGGAGGACTGACATGGATAAAAGACTGGGCCACCCTCAGAAATACCAGAATCACTAATTTGGAAGGTTTTGATTTAAGAGCTGGATGGCACTCGTACCTATGGTACCAAAGGAGAAAAACAGAGAAAAACTTTGGTAATCACTTCACTAGATCAGCCCTTATAAAAATCTGGGGAAAATATAAAGAAAGACTCTATTCAAAAACACCAGTGTGGTTATCACCACAAGAAGCAAATCACAGAAGAGAGACACCACAAAAAAGTTGGTTAACATACAAGGACATCTTGAAAAAACAAGATAAGGAGTTCATACTAAAATCACAAGAGGAACCAAATCTACTGGACAGAGGAATCTCATGGTTCCAATATAGACAAATCAGAGAATATTATATAAAGGACAAGACAAATGGATTTATAGACAAAGAAACTTTCTGGGATAAACTACTGAATTCAGAAAACAAAACAATAGCCAAAATCTACAAGAAACTATTAGACTGGTCCACAGAAACAGAATTAATTAAATTTATTTATTTATTTATTTGCTATACTTGTATACCGCTGTTTCTCAGCCTAGTCGGCGACTCAACACGGTTTACAACAACTTATAACAAACAACAGTATACAGTTTAAAAGCATAAAAACATAATCCACAATACATATATCAATAAACAATCCAATACATCTCTTGACTAAAAACGTGATCCAGTTTCGTCGTCCAAATTGCCAGTCCTTCAATCATTACACTTATTGCACTGGGTTAACCGAACGCCTGCTCGAACATCCACGTTTTTAGTCTTTTCCTGAATACCATCAATGAGGGAGCTGATCTTACCTCCATGGGAAGGGCGTTCCATAGCCGCGGGGCCACCACAGAAAAGGCCCTGTCTCTCGTCCCCGCCAGCCGCACCTGTGAAGCAGGCGGGATAGAGAGTAGGGCCCCCCCAGAAGATCTTAGGGTCCTGGTGGGCTGATAGGCCGAGATACGTTCGGATAATTAAAGACTGTATGGTTAAGTGGGCTGCAAATATTGGACACTCAATTAACTTAGAAGACTGGGAAAGAATTTGGAACAAGAAAATAAAATATACATATTTTGTTGTTCATTCGTGCAGTCATTTCTGACTCTTTGTGACCTCATGGACC